CAGTGGTGGGTTGGCCTCTATGCAGGTGCTGGCAATTCAACATTGATTTTTGGCTGTTTAAGTTACTTGTCTTACAAAAAGTGATCTTAAAGTTACTTTATTAATTAACTATTGTGTTTTTTAATTTTAACATCTTTTTTGCACTATCGAATACTTTTACAGGTGCTCCAGGCCGCGCGTTTCATTTTTGGAACAGTGAAACCGAGGTGCTAGTTTATGTTGGTGGTGTACTAACAGATCCAGAAGCATTAACGGGGTGGGGTTTACTGAATGAATTAACCGAACTTATCGGCCGAGTTCGAGTGGCTAGCCATGGAACCGCAGTGGCGTGCACAAGCCTTAGGACTATTGTTCTTGATTTGACAAACCCAGGAATAGTATTGCAAGAAGAAGAAATTCCAGGGGGAATCACTATCAGTTGCTTTGATACCAACGATGAATCAATGGTAATAGTTGACTCGCGGACCACGGCTAGCGTCCGCCGGGTGACCACTTTGGAGGAGGTTTGTAGGTTCACAGCTAGAGGAGCCTCTCGGAGAGGCACTTTGGGATGTGTAAATGGTGGATATGGACTAATGTGTGTAGGGGGAGAGATTAGGGTTTGGGAAATAGAGCACGGAGCATATTTATACAATTTTAGAGAGAGAATAGGCATATGCAATGCCCTTATTGCCGATGAAAGGCATGTTGCTGCTTGTTCTGCAGATGCCATTATTCATTTGTGGGATTTTGGGGCTCAATAGAAGCAACAACTTAAAATGGTTGTTTTATTTCATCCCAAGTCAATTGCTATAGTTTTATTTTAGGAGAGTCCTCCATTTATTGGACCAGAAGTATTCTGGGCCAGAGGTGAAGAGGGATTAGCGAACTGACTTTAATATGATTCTCTAGTTGATTGCTTTGATTTGTATGGGCAATTTGGACATACTACTTTTTGGCTTTAGAGTTACCTTGATCTTTTAAAGACTAGGAGTCACTTTTTTGTTTTTCCTCTTATAACTAGAGCCTATCTTTCACTTTTTTGCCTTTTATATGTTGTAGTTTGATGATTTTTCTCTTGTAGCTTCTGTTCCATTTTATGCAATCTAATGAAAGCAAAACTTAGTATTCACTTAGTTAATGCCAATTTATATCTATTAAATGTCAATGTGAGGCAACTCACTTGTTGACAGATCCAGAAATCCAAGTGAGCTCTCACGATTGCCCAATATGAAGAGAAAATTAAAATTTTCAACAGAGCCAGTACGAGGGGCGCAGGGGCTCGCCTTGTGCTAGCTCTGCCCCTACCTTGAGTCTTAACCCTTACAAAGACTAAGGCCCTAATGCTTTTTTGGTTTAAATGTTAATGTGAAGCAAGTCCATTGACAGCGGATCCAGGAATTCAGGTCGGCACAAGCAGTTGCTCGAACAACTATCGAGCAGATATCAAATATAAAGAAAAAAATAATTTTTTTGACGATGCCAAAACGGGCGCCGTAGGGGCTCATCTGGCGCTGGCTCCGCACTTGCTTCGAGCCTTAACCCTTACAAAGACTAAGACCCTAATTGCTTGTTTGGTTAGGGAACTATAATATTGACAATATATATACATTCATTGAACTAGTTAATTGTTGAGTTGTGCATGTTGTAGATTTATCTTGAATAAAACTCGAGAAAAATAAGTTCAAGAACAAGTAGAATATTGCAGAAAAAATCGAACTATGATTTGACCGATCTCAAGGCATTTTATAACGTTACCTTTCTTAAGATACAATTTGTCCCCCACCAATTCTGTGATGCAAACGGAATGCAAATGCGCCTTTATAAAACCGAACCTTTTAATGCTGAATGTGTTGTGAAAACGCGAAGACAACCAAAATATCAACTTATACAAGAGGCTTTATATTCCGTTTTTCAGAAAATGCAAGATGAGGTATGATTTGGAGAGATACAATATATAAAAGTGAAACGCATGCAAGTAAATTGTAGAAGAAGGTAGAGAGAATGATATGAATTCTATCTACTTTCCACTCCTATGATTAAAGAAAACTTAAATCTATATGTAGATTTATATATCTATATATAGATTTATGTCACAACCTTTTTGATAAATTGTAGTAATTGAAAGGTGTCTTTTAAAATTGACAGATATCAAAGAAAGTCAAAAATCATTTGGGGATGAAAAGACATCATTTGAGGCTGTCGCCAGCGGCAATCGATGAACAAAGTTGGAATAACACTCAACACCATAATTTTTCTCCGGAATAATGTCATTTATAATTGCTCACTACTGTAATCATCTTATATGACATACATGTGACTTAATAATGATTTGATGCAATGCATCTCATTACTAAATGTTACATGTATGTCACGTAGGGCGATTAGGTAGTGAACGTCTGCAAATAATATTACTCATTCCTCTAATTGTTACTCTCGATTTTGAAGCGAGGCGTGTAATCTCTATTTTTTGAATTTGAATTCTCCACATTTCTTGAAGATAAGCTTATCTCTAATTCCGACTGAAATCCACCCACACTTAACGAGATATTCTAAGTAATTATTTTAAGTTTAAAGAGAAAAGAACTGTGCTACATGTATAACTATTGTTGACAATTTTGCTGACATTCATTAGTTAACAGGAATCTACACCATTTATTTTAAAAATTGTTGTTTAAATCAATAGCACGGATCTTTACAACACATGAATTGTTAACAAAAATTGTACAAATAGCTTTATGCAAGAGAAAAAAACGTATTCTTGAATTTTAAATATTTTCCAGTAATAGTAAAACAACGACAGAAAAGTGGGTTAGATATCTAAATAACCCTATTACCTATAGTTGTGATGGACTGGCCCTTCTTTCTTCAAACTCCCGCATAGCCAGGCCCACATAGAGCTTCATTAATATTTTTAGGGAGGGTTAGTTTTCCTCCACCATTTTTATAAGTCTATTCCACTCTAAATTTATCCATATTAAAATTTTAAAAAAGTATTATACTCGTCCACGTTACATTTCAACATTGTACTTATTCAATTCATTCATTTAAACACTAAATATTTATATTATTTTTATATATCTATCTCAGTCAATTTTAGCTATGTTTGATGGTCATTATTTGGGAGAAACAATGTTTTGAATAGTGATTTTTAGAAGAAAGTAGAAAAAATAATTTGGATTTACGTGCTAAATATTTTATTATGTAATTGTATTATTAAAAAAGATTACGTAGAAAAAAGAGTTTTTTTAATAATGGCATCAAACAAGGACTTGAGTATATTTGTTTAATTTTGTATTGTGGGTCATGGGTTTTGGCTAAGGGATTGCTTTTTCTCATTTTTCCACTTTAATATCGGTTTCTTTTTAGTTATTTTATTTATCTGTGATTCTAGTGTGTGTTAAGGGAGATATAGCTTGGTTAGGAGTCAAATTGGTCGATTCTTGAAATTATTTTAATATCGTTAATTTAGTCCTATCTATAAATTGTAAAATGATGACTTTTTGAATTTGATATCAGTGTGCTGTATTTGTCGCATTATTCTTGAACATAAATTGTCTAGAATGACATCATTGTGCCGATAATGCTCCAAATGATGGGCCACTCCTCTCACTTAGTTTCTAATATAGTGAATGCACGAGCGTTGCACGTGTGGTGGGTGATGTAGTGTAAACAAACATTTTTCGGATTGGTGGACTTTCTGTAGGTCTTCATGTTCTAAGGCTCGGAATGGCACAATCCTTCAACGATGATTCCTGCCGTGTTTCGAAAAATTAATGTGATAGGCAGACACATAACTATCATCCATGGATACACACGAATCGTAATTTTAGCATTTGTGTCAATATGTCTCTGCAAAGCACAATTTTCGTTAATAGACAAAGATTCATGACATGCATCTAGTTAGAGAATGCAAAATAATTTCAATTAATCACCAAGTACCTGAACAAAATTCATATAGTCTACTCAATAAAGATGATCACCAGACATGATAAGAATGTGTTCGACATTTTTATTTTCACTATCTTACACATATGTTCAGAATCATCATTAGCTATATTCCTTTTGAACGAGGCAGGAGTTTTCTTGCCTGCATTACCACAAATGAGTAAGGCATGATAGAGAATATATAATTTTTCTACTTGAGATCAAGGCATGCTAAAGCCAGCACTTGGTATTATCTGCCGGATGAGAGGTGGATGGAAAGGAAAAATGGGCACTGATATCATTTAAAAAACATTAGGAGTAATTTTTGATTACTTTGACATTCAAAGCGCTCAGCACCACTTACAATTACAAAAACCACCCGGTGGACAAAAAATAGAAATGCATTTCGCAATTTGTATCGTGTCTTCGTGCTAGACTTGAAATATATTTGTTCTCATTTTTTTTATTTTTTTATTTGGATAAGATCATTTTATGGCTTAAAGAATGTTAGTTTTTTAAAAAGTTATCAAATCCTAATAACATTTAGTAAAATTATTTAAAACATGTGTTTGCATTCAATGGTTACTCGTCTAAACAAACAAGTTGATCTTGATCGAATAAAAAATGTGTAACTTTTTTAAAAAAAATAAATTAATTTTATCACACATTATTACAAAAAATTATAATAATTATTGTTCCTATTTAACCTAAATAAATGCTCCCATCTCAATCAAAAGTAAAAGATGTTTCAAGAAATAAGAAAAAGAGAAGGAAAAGAACAGCAAAAAGGCTGAGACACAGTGCCATCAAGTGGGCACAATTCCTGCTCGACTAATACAACTTGGCTTGTAGTTAGAAAAATGGCTTATGAACAGTAATTAGAAACCCACTCTTTTTATATGTAGTTAGATAACGATATATATGGTTACATTCTGCAAAAGTGCCACGCACTCTATGCAAACTTAGAAATTTGCAGACCTTTGATGTTCAAGAATGTGTCTGTAAACCTTCCTATGTGTATTTGGAAAATGAAACAGTTGAGACACATTCTCCTATGTGACATTGTCAGATTTTCATCATTTACTTGGGGATGTATGTCTAAACCTGCAAAACTAAATCACTTGTTGGAAGTGTCTTTACCTTATCTCCAAACTCTAGTTGGGATTGATGGCAACAGCTTGAATCCTATCTGGCTGCGCAAATTCCCGAATTTAAGGAAATTGGAAGTGAGACGTTGTCTGCGAGGAATCATAGAGGAATTATCCCATGCAGAGCCGATATCCGAGAAACTGGAGAACCTGAGGATACTGTCATCAATTTTTGAGCTCAATCAAACTATAAGAATGGATCTATCACGATATCAAAAACTTGTTAGGTTGCGCATAGGTTGTGAGATGAAGAAGCTGCCTAATGCTGATGAATTTCCACCTTACCTCATCAAGCTAACAATTGCGTATACAAAGCTTGAGGAGGATCCAATGGAAGTATTGAAGAAATTACCCAAGCTCAAAATCCTGAAATTTGGACCTGAATCCTACAAAGGCACAAAGATGGATTGTTCAGGATCACACAGTTTTCTTCAGCTCGAAATGCTGCAAATTCGACACTTGTGGGAATTGGAGAAGGTTATAGCAGATGAAGAAGGAATGCCAAAACTCAAACAAGTACTCATCAGTCAATGCCATAGACTTGAAATGATTCCTGAAAAGCTAGAAAATTTGCGGAAATACAGCAAATAGAAAGGTCAGCACTCAGCCCTGTGTGCACGCATTGCTCTTTCACAAGGTTAAAATACAACACGTTGATTACAAACTGAAGCATAGATACAAATATTGTAATGTAATAAGCTTATTTACATATGAATAAATTATTTCCTTTTTCTTGAGATGTATATTTTTGTTTAAAATCTAAATCTTCTCCCCTTCTAGATATTATTACATTGTACTCTCTTTTCTTTTCCACTTCTAATTACATTTTTATGTGGAATAGTGTTACACAGCAACGTCATTCAGGAAGACTACCAAGGCCAAATCCCAAGTATATAGAGTAATTTTCAGAACAGGTCTAAGTGGATTAGCAGAAGAACAGGTCCAAGCTGGTCAGTAGAACGGGTCCAAAGTTAGTTTAGCTGTAGGAGAGTCTTTAGCATTATTTATTTATTTATTTTTAAAGACGGTCGGCACCTCCGTATTTATTAAATAAGTGCCTCACTTGTGGTGGAGGAAAAACCGTGGTTACATTGCAAGTCAACTAAAACAAATAAAGCTACAAAGCATTAACAACGTAGGTATGGAAGTTCCCATCTATCCGTTCGCAAGATGCCAAAGAGGATCGACGGCAAGCTATCTGTAGAATGTGTTAGCAACATAAGCTACCTTGAACCAATATAGTGAATCAATTCAAAGAAAAGAAAAGAAGAAGAAAGAGAGAGGAAAAACCAATAATATATTGAGCTGTCAAAAATCAGGTTTTTTTATTGAAATACAGAAATTTATATATTATAAGAGAAGTAAACAAAAAGGAAACATACAAAAGAAGGAACTAAATATTATACAATAATATTATATAAGGCTAACATCCCCCCTCAAACTCACGATGGTACAACAAAAAGCAACTACAGTTTGTCAAGCAAGAAGAGAAAACGGTGAACATGATGAGACTTCGTGAAGAAGTCAGCAAGCTGTAATGATGAAGAAACAAAAGGTAGAGAAATGGTGTCAAATTGCAGATAATGGCAAATAAGATTATAGTTAATCCCAATTTGCTTTGTGCATTCATGGAACACAGAGTTGTGAGAAATCTGAATAGCATTTTTATTATTACAATACATGGGGATTGGAGAGGAAGAAGAAACACCCATGTCTGCAAGTAACCAACACACACACAATTTCAGTGGCAGTGGATGCCATAGCACGATACTTTGCCTCAGTAGAGAAACAAGAAACAATGGTTTGTTTCTTACTCTTCCAAAAGATAAGGGAATCACCCAAAAATATACAAAAATCAGCAGTGGACTTGCGATCAGTGGGGTTATTGGCCCAATCAACATCAGAGTAGGCACGAAGCACTAAAGAGAAAGTCGATGGAAATAAGAAACTCTGAAAGCAAGTACAACGAAGTTAGCGCAAAATACGAACAACGGCTGCCCAATGAACTGTAATAAGAGCCGAAACAAACTGACTAACAATGTGAACAACATAAGCAATATCAGGATGTGTGATGGTATGATAAACTAGACATCCAACAATGGTGCGTTACACAGTGGGATCAGTTAAGGGTACACCGTCGAGAGTGAATGTCTAGCGTCGGATTCAAGAGGAGTATCAGTAGTTTTAGTATCAGTAAGTCGAGTATGCTCAATAACATCCATAGTATACTTAGACTAAGAGAGAAGGTAACCTTTGGGAGAAGAAGCAACTTCGATCCCCAAAAAATAAGATAATGCACCTAAGTCCTTCATTTCAAAACAATGACCCAATTCTAATTTCAAATAATCCCATCAACATCATCACCAGTAATAATCATATTGTAAACATACATCAAAAGTAGGATGTTACCAGCTGAAGTGTATCTAAAGAATAGGGTAGAGTCATGATAACTGGATGTAAAACCAAGAGAGATAACAACATTAGAGAATTTTGTAAACCAGGTACGAGGTGCTTGTTTGAGACCATAAAGTGCCCTCTTGAGCTTGTAAACATATCCAAGAGAGTGAGAAAAACCAGGAGGAAGAACCATATAAACCTCCTTTTGAAGATTTCCATTCAAAAAAGCATTTTTGACATCCAACTGAGAGAGACTCCACTGACGAATAGATGCAACTGCAATAAGTGTACGAACATTGGTACTCTTGGCAACACGAGCAAAAGTCTCCTTATCATCCAGACCATGATTAAAAACCTTAGCAACCAATCTAGCCCTGTAACGCTCAACAGAACCATCAGATTTGATTTTAATCTTATAAACCCAACAAGAACCAAAAGCATGTTTACCAGAAGATAATGCAACCCAGTCCCAAGTGCCTTATATAGAGCAAAGAGTTCATCAACCATAGTCTGTTGCCAAAGAGGATCCAGAATAGCTTTTTTTATAGGAAGAGGGTTCAGATAGCTTGTAAATGGATGTTAGAAAACAACAAAATGACTCAGAATAACAAGAATAAGAAAAATCAGATAATTGAATGGACTTACAAATACGTTGAGGATATCGAGGAAGGAAGGGAGCAGAAGCTGGATCAACGATCTCTGACGGTGCTTGAAAGGCCATAGAAGGAGGAAGGGTATCATGAGCCGACGCATGTGTACCTGTAGGATCTGAATAATCAACAGTAATGGTGTATGGAAAGGTGGTCTATCAAAATTATCAGAGAATTGATCAATACGAATGAGATCAGTTTTGGTCACGTTATGAGTATTATCAGATATAGAAAAAATGGAAAGTGCTTAAGAAACACGACATGACGAAAAACATATAATTTTTTATTAATGGGATCAAAGAAGTGATAACCCTTTTGTTCCTGCCCATAACCCAAGAAAACACAAATAGCAGAGCGAGTGTCAACTTACTACATTCGACTTCAGAACGATGAACAAAGTAAGTACAGTAAAAAACTCTTAATGAGGAGTAATCATGAGGTTGCCCATACAATGTTTCAGAGGGTAATAAACCTGAAGTGTGGGAAGATGGAATCTTATTAATTAAAAAAACACTAGTGAGAACTGCTTCTCCCCAAAATTCATTGGGAACTTAGGCAGACAAGAGAAAGGAACGAGCAGTTTCTACAATGTGCATATACTTTCGTTCAATAACACCATTTTGTTGTGGGCATTAGTACACGAGATTTGATGAATTGTGCCATCAAGAGCAAGCAATTCAGAGAAATCATTCGAAGTATACTCTCTACCCAAGTGACATCTAAACTACTTAGTTATAGTAGAATGTTGAGTTTTAATAAGTGCTCTAAAAGAACGATAAATAGAAAGAAAGTCAGATCGTCGTTTCATAAGATAAACCTAATAATAAAAACTATAATCATCAATAAAAATATACATAATATCTAGAACCTCATTTTGTAGCAATATGAGCAAGTTCACATACATCAAAGTGAATAAGATCAAATGGTACTACAGAATGAGAAACACTTCGAGGAAAAGATAAAGTGGAAAATTTAGCTAATTTGCAACCACTACAATCAGAAATGTCATGAGTTTGCAAATCTCCCAATTGACCTTTAGAAACTAAAAATTTCAAACGACAAGCGAAAACATGTCCAAGGCGAGAATGCCATAAATAAAAACTAGACGATGATGATTTCAAACAGAAAGATGACAAGTCAACACCAAAGGCTGCAACGTGTGGTGGTGTCAGATTGTCTAAAACATATAACTCTCATTGTCTATGGCCTATCCCAATAGTTTCTGAGATCGAGGATCCTGCACATGATAAACAGTAGAAGAAAACTGAACTAAGTATCCAGAATCACACAATTGGCCAATAGAAATAAGATTCAAAGTAAGAGTTGAAACACAATAGACTTCTGAGAGCGATAAATTATGTGTGTTAACCAGACCAACACCTGCTAAAGGCAATTGTGTACCATTAGCAATCATAACAAACATAGGCGAGTTAGAAGAGCGCAAGTCATTAAAGAATTTTGAGTTAGACTACATGTATTTGGAAACACCCGAGTCAAAGATCCATAAGGAAGAAATACATGAATGGACTCTGAGATAACAAACCTATATGAGTAGAGGCTGACATAGCATGTGGTTGTGTGGTTAAGAACTTCTGAAACTGCTCTGCTAAATTAGTCAACATGGGACTAGAGGAAGGTGGTGCTCCAAGTACAGACGAGTTACTAGGTGGCAGCTATGTTGGCATTAAGACAATAGGGTCGCTGCTGTGGTTGTGGCTACTGCTTCTTCAATAGTTTAGGACATTGATACTTCCAATGTCTCTTTTGTTTGCAAAAGTTACACTCATCAGTAGCAACTCTCACATAACCTTTGTTTTGATTCTGTGTAGACGATCGAGAGTGTACAGCCAACACTGAAGTGTTAAATGGAGGAAGAAATACTTCTCCTACAAGATATTTCAAACGTGTTTCCTTAGCTATAAGTTCACTAACCATCAAATCAACTGAGGGAAGTGGAGTGCAATGCAAGATAAAGCCTTTAAGTCCCTCAAAATCACTATGAAGTGCCATAAAAACTGAACTAATTGTTGCTCCTCAGTGAAAGTAATATATTCCTCACATGTTTTCAATCTCGTTGATTCTGTAAGAGCCAACTCATCCCAAATTGAATTCATAGCAGCGTAAAACTCGAGAATACTCATATTCTTCTGTTGTAAAGCCCGAATATCAATTTTCAACTAATACCGCTTTGCAAAGGTAGACATAGTGCATAACTTCTGAAAATAATCCCAGACTTCCTTTGCTATTTCAAACTTTGTCGACTGTGTACCAATGGATTGCTCAACAAAATTATGAATCCAAGTAAAAAAATTCGCATTGTTCGATTCCCAATTATCCTACTGTTACATAATTCTCAGCAGTGTTCTTAGGTTTCACAACAGTTCCACTAATATAGCCCCACAATCTTTTTCCCTTTAGAAAATTTCTCACCACGATACTCCAATATGAATATTTTTTACCATTTAATCTTACACTAATGCATTAAAGTGAATAATCTCTTTCAGTTATCATCATAAAGTCAACAAATAATCAACTATGAATCAA